TCCTGATTCAGAAGGTAGCATCAGCGGATAATGTGGCAGATTCATTGACTAAGCCACTGACACAGAAGGTGTTTGAGAAACACGTGGAAAGTATGGGACTCCGGCTTGTACCAGATTGGACCTAAGTGCAAGTGGGAGCTGTTAGACAGTTTTGTATGCCCTTAGCTTCAATCCGATTTTATGTACTTTGGTTATTTAGTGGAAATAAATAAAGTACATGTTTGATTCATGTTGTTTGGTTTAATTCTGTGTAAGACTCTAAAACTGGACACTTATAGAGACTCGTGTTAGTTTTAAATATTCACAGCTGTTGGATAAGTCTGTGGAGATTTATCCTACCATGGCTGATACTGATGTGCCACCAAATGTTGGGATGGCCTGTCTCAGCCACCAGGGTAAGACCCAAGGCACATGCAGGATTACTTGAATCCTTGAACCGGACCAGATTTCCAGTATTACCCTGGACCTTGGAGACAGATAGGCAAAATTGGAAAGTTACATCTGACCCCTAGCCTTAACTATGACATTTCACTAGCTGAAACTTTGATACAAAAATCTCATTTATATGTAATGACAGACAAATGAATGTTCATCGCAAAAGCTTGATTTAGGAGCTAAAGGTTATTTATCTTTAAAAGAAGCTTGACGATTCGGCTATTTGAATTGTTGGATTGATATAACCTAATAGTGAGTCACGAGTTATACATTTCTGGGCCAGGATTTTACAAGCCATTAATAGCCTTTAAGGTTGCCCTGGCCTAAACCACCCAACACCTTGGGCTTGGGTTGAGAGGCATTTCGTCTAGCCCATATAAATTAATAAATAATATTTTGATAATAAAATGTTACATTTAATTTTAAAAGAAAATATATAGAAAAAACTTATTGTATATATATTAATATACCATACCATAAGACATCACCTCTGTGTACGTGGAATAATTAATAAGTAACAACTCGCAGTGGGTAGATCTGCAAAGATGCTGATTTGGACAAAGAAACTAAAGGGATGCAAATGCACCAACAGCTCACTTTAACAAATAAAAAACAATAAACAGACATCAATGATATTCACTTTATGATGTGAAACATTAATTGGTGGTGCATCTTTATTCTCTCAAATTAGGAGCCCTAGTAAGTTAATGGGTTGGGAATGGCAACCCATGGCGGGATCATATTTTCAGTACCCGAATTTGATTCTGAAATTAACTCTATTCTTGTTTCCAATTTTTGCTGGAGATAAAATTTGTCCTTTATTCCTGACTTGAAGGGGGGGTTGATTAAGATTATGGAGTCGCCACCTAAATTTTTATGAATTGGGAATTTAGGAAAACCTGAGAATTTTTAAGAAAAAACATTTCAGTTTTCTTGGTGACTTGTTTTCCAATGGAATTGAGATTCTTAAGGTCTAGGGACCAAGGTACGGTATGAGAAGGTGTTAAACACCCTACACTGGCCCGGTTAAGCCGACCTCTACTTTACCAAAGTTCCAAGGAATATTTAATAATTTTGACATTAAAATAATGTAATTATTTTATCCATCTAAGAGAAAAGACTAGCAATATATAAAAAAAGTAAGAATAACAACTAAACAATTAACTATCATATTCAAAGCATAACACCAAAAAAAATCAATGTAAGGATTAGTAAGCCTAGGATAGAACTAATTATTGGAACTTGATACTTCTAGGACTGAATGTGGCAAGTGTCTTGATACTTCTAAAAAAAGTTTTAACTTGATAACCAAACAAAAGAAGCGACTTAATGAGGCTGCAAAGGAAACTAACTAAACAAGAGACGGTAATTCTTTGTATTTTTCATGAATCCCTTGGATGTTTGAATGTCTTTCTTAGTAGTTGTGCACTCAGAATACTGAGTAACACGAACTGTAACAATCTTTCAATTCGGAAAATGAATGGATGCTGAGAGTAAAACATGCAGGGTATAAATAGATTTCCTAATGCAAGAAAAAGAGCAACTTAACTCCGCACACACGGAAATAGAATCCTCTACCACCCCAAGCCATGAGACCATATGTATATTTACCTCATTTGGGTCTGAGAAATATAACATTTTCCTTGTAATTTTCCAATGTGAGATTCAAGAAAACAAGGAGATTGAAAATTTTTGGCAAAGGTCAAAGCTTATGTAAGCATGTGACTTGTGTGGGAAAAACAAAAAGTTAAAACGACAAAACTATTCCTACTAAAACTTTTGAATCACACTTCAAACCAATTACAAGTGAAAGTGCAGCCTGGCACACACCGTTCCGAGTGCGGAGATCCGGACTCCATAATTATACCCATTGACAGCCCTAATCTTGATTCTTGACATTGCATTAAGTTATACAAGAAACAAACATATGCTTAGCATTGCTTTAATATGAGAGAGAGAGAGAGTCAAATCGTTGCTTATTTTTCTCATCAATATATATTAATGCAGAAACACTTACGTAATAGAAATGCAGTTAGGTAGGGATATAAAGAAAATAACAAAGCTGGTATGTGAACTAGAACTAACGACTGAATTAAACTATTTTATTATCTAATGAGGATGTTTTTTTCTCCTTTAGTTTCAATACAACGATCGTTTTGTTACTGTATATGAATAATAGCAAACTGATAAATGGTGGAAGTAGAGATCAGTAATTATTAGACTACTTCACATGGCAACTCTAACTACTCTCCTGTATTCTATGGTCTTCTATGCAACCCTTCTCATCATCCCAGCAGACTGCAGTCTGGGTTATGATCTGGGGAAGCCCAAAAACCATGTTCCCTTCTTCATCTTTGGCGATTCCTTCGTAGATGCCGGAAATAACAACTACATCGGCACCGGCGCCATCCAGGCAAATTTCTGGCCTTATGGACAAACCTTATTCCACTACCCCAATGGGCGTTTCTCCGATGGCCGCCTATCTCCGGATGTTATCGGTACGATCCACATTTCATCTCTCTCTCTCTCTCTTTCTCTAGATCTCCATAAACATGATGATGATGACGTACGTTGAGCTTAATTGCAGCGGAATTTGCTAACGTGCCGTACATACCACCGTTTCTACACCCTGGCGTTCATCAGTTCAGTGAAGGAGCAAACTTCGCCTCTTCTGGAGCTGGTGTTCTGGTTGAAACCTTTAAAGGACTGGTAATCAACCTCAAAACACAGCTGAGCTACTTCAAGAAGGTGGCGACTGGGTTGAGACAGGAACTAGGAGACGGTGAAGCTAAGAAACTGTTCTCAAGAGCAGTTTACTTAATTAGTGTAGGGAGCAACGACTACATGTATCCTTTCTTGAGCAACTCCACCATTCCAGAGTCCTCTCAGACACAATACGTCGGCAGAGTGATTGGCAACTTGACCAGTGTGATACAAGTAAGGGCGAAAGATCCACTTTGGCTTCCTTCAGAAAGGAGGGAATCTGCAGAATGCTCCTTTGAAGGGTGGATCCAAAGGAGCATTCCCTCCTTTAATTTGTAAAAGGGAGCCAAAGTGTAAGTCGATCGATGAGGTCTCCCTTCCCTTATTTCTTCTCTTTTCGTTTGGCAATATGTATGGAAATGAAAGTGGTGGTTTTTCTTTTTTTTTTATTTGGCAGGAAATATACAAGATAGGAGGCAGAAAATTTGGTTTCATCAGATTGGGGCCGTTGGGTTGTGTACCAGCACTGAGAGCTCTCAAACCAGAAAACAAAGGACGTTGCTTAGAAGAAGCATTAACACTTTCGAAACTACACAATAAGGCTCTATCGAATCTCCTCAGAGAACTCGAGAGCCAGTTTCCAGAGTTGAAATATTCAAATTATGATTTCTATAGCTTCCTCAGACAACGAATGAAGTACCCATCAAAATATGGTATGCTATTTTCATCACAACTTCCCTCCATTTTCTTCTTCTGTTGAATATTTTAGTTCAATTTAATTTGTTAATTAAATATATGATAACACATCTGTAATCAATGAAAATTATAAAGGTTTCAAGGAAGGAGAAAGTGCGTGTTGTGGCATAGGACCCTTGAGGGGAGTCATGAGCTGTGGTGGAAGAGGAAGAGTGAAAAATTATCAGTTATGTGATAAACCCAGTGAATATGTGTTTTGGGATGCTATACATCTCACAGATAAGGCATACCAACAAATGGCAGAGCAGATGTGGAACGGAACCAATCCTGTTGTAGAGGGAAATTACAATTTGAAGAGTTTCTTCCCGTCTGTTGCGCCATAGCTGCTTATAGTTATAACTCATCTCTCTCTCTCTCTAGTCTCTGTGTTCTAAATAAATTGAGATAAATATTTATGTAATTTCTTCCAAGTTACAATTTACATGATACTGTACACTTTTGTATATCGACACTCTAAATTGAACGGCTTCAGTTTTTGTTTTATTTATTATTATTATTATTATTAGGGGATGACGAGAATGACACAAAATGTAATAAGAACTATACCCATCGTTTACCCACATAACATCGCAGCTACATATACGAAACATCTCATCCTCTTACTTAGTATTATGCATGAGAGATGTTCTCAATGCAAGGAGGTAGTATATTATGAGTAAATGTGGGCTGGAAATTGGGAATCGTCATTATAATGTTGCAGTAAAACCACCACAAATCCAAATACATTCCAAGATTGACATACACAGTCCATGCAAATAACGCAGGTGCATGTGTACCACTCGATCAACTAGTTTTGTTAGGGGTTTAAGTACTGTGTATTCTCTGCTTATTTCTCATTCAAATTCTTGCAAACTACTATTCTTCTTGATTCTCTCTTGCTTTTTCTTTGTCTTAGTCAAAATAGGTAAAAAAGGTAACATGAGACCAAGCTATGAGAAGGGAGGCCCAATATTAAAGATGCAACCATACGTACCCTCCTGAGCAAACTGAACCATGATTCAGACCTGTGACAGATCCATGATTGGACCCATCACAGTAATGTAAGAAGTTACCCAACTGTAGAAGGCAATAAATTCAACTTGTCAAAGCTCAATTTAATAAAAAAAAAAAACTCGAGAGCATAGACTTTTACGGGAATTGAAATTAAGACATTATAGGCTAAAACCGAAGTGGGCCACAATGTCAATAAAAGACCTCAATGGGTCAATCCAAAATGCCACCATGGGTGGGCTTGGGCTTCCAAAGCCGATCATACAATGGGCCACATTGGACCAATAAAGGCCAATAACGATCGCAATGGACCAACAAAGAGCCTGAATAGGCAAGACCAAAGAGAGGTCACTATGGGCCAGAATAAACAATGCCTCAATGGACTTTTTTCTCTGTCTAATTTGAAATAGGCCTTCGTAGGTCAAAAGCATGCCTCAATAGATAGAAAGGAGGCTCAATTGGTTGAAATAATAATGAGATGGGTAATAGTGGGCCGAATGAAAAGAAGAGCAATAGCCAGAGGCGGGCCGGTTTAACCATTATCTCCAAAGAAGGAGCTTGGTATGGTCACTGTAAAGGGGTATTGTCTCCATCATCAACAACCTGTCGGCTTTCCACCTTTCACTCACCATGCAATGTTTCCAATAAAAGAGATTTTCTACGAGTTGGCATCAACGAATGAGTGCGAATGGTTTGTTGTGCAACCCACGACATTATATCACTTGGTTTACAAATGGAAATTAAGAGCTAGTACTGATGTTTGTTTTATGTAACAACGATCGATGACGATACTGAAGAAGTAAGCTTCAAGACTTGGAATGAATAATTCACCATTCACCAATTGCTATTGCTGAACGGACTACCTCCAAAACACGATCACGATGTGACCTTACACTTATTTTTCTGTAACATGGTCCATGGGATTTCTGTGAGTAGACAGCATTATTGTGAAGTGAATAGTTGTAGAGAGATGGTGGCGGTGTGCCATTCTTTAGACAAATAGATGCTTGCAATCACAAAAAAAAAAAAAACACGAAGGCATGCACAAGATTAACGGGTCCAAACAAGAAATAGTGCAGCAGCAACGCACCATGGAAGATAAAACAAAATCTTATTGGGAGAATGCATCATGGCGCAAGTTGAGCATGCGAAAGAAACAGTGACGAACAAGAGACTCCACATTTATTGACGTTGAAATGAAGTAGGTGATGATGATAAAAGAAAGTGGAAGGTGAAGTTTGTGAAAGATTAATTCTAGTGGATCTTTTGTTTGTTTTAATTTGATGCATAGAACCCTATTTACATAACCAAAGATCGGATTTTTCCTTGCTAAATGATTTCATAACACCCACTCGGCATTAATGGAACCTGCAAATTAAACTTGGGAAAGGAACTTATTTCCTGATTTGGTGTTTGATAATTCATTGTGGCTAATAGGAAAAGATGAAATTTCATTTTGGCTCGAAACTGTGAAGGAAGCATTTTTAGATGTTGGTGGATGGAATGTTGTTCTAGCTCCTACATGAATTGGTTATGGCTGATAATTAAATGAAGTGGGGGGAAATCATTTCCTCCAATATTCTTTCATCGAATTATGAGGATAAGGTTGTGTGGAAGCATGTGGCTAATGTTGTGTTTGCATCGGAAAAGGTGTGGGAACAGATAGAGGTGTGGACAATAACTACTGGAACGTACTGAATTTGGGCATCTCACATACCCCTGAAAATCAGTTTTGGGGCATGGAGAGATGTTCGGGGTGTGCTGCCGGTTGATCAAAATATTCAATCTTTGGGCATACCCTCTTCTCTCTATGTGTTGCTATTGCAGGGCGCCGGTGCCGGCCGGCGTGTGAGGACATTCATCATTTGTTCATCAGTGGTGTGCTTGCAGAAAAACTATATGTCTGACTTTGATTCATATCTAAGTACTATGGAGAAACCACAAATAAGGTGGCAGAATGCCGAGCCCTTTTAGATGGGCTGCTAGCACCCTCTGAATTTCGATGTATGGAGTTAATTGTTTTCTCAGAGTCCCAAATTTTGATGGATAGTACGAATGGTGGTGTTTCATCCCCCCTTGGTCGATACCAGACAGTTCTGGTCAATTTTATCATTTGTCATATCTACAGGGAAGGTATTCTCTAGCAAACTTAGCTTGTGATCTAAGAATGACATTTCTACACCTTCCTTATCTACGCATTCAATACAACTTTCTTTTATAGTGGCATTCACACAGTTTTGTAGGTTTTTATGTCCCCCCCCCCCCCCTCCTAGGCCTTTTCATTGCTTTATTAATAAAACCAATGGTGGTCCCCAAAAATTTAAACTTTAGAAATAACCAATTCTAACTGTAGCCTCACAATCGTTTCGCCTCCAAGATTGATCCACACAAAGCAAACAAAAGACAAAGAGTCCAAACCCTTCTAGAAGATTAAGATATAGGCAACTATTAGAGTATGATATCGAACTGTTGGGATACAAATACAAATATGGATACACTTTGGAAACACATAGATATAGACAAAAGATATGAAAATGTTTGAATACACCAAGGAAAATGCATACAAATCACATAAAAATATAAAGTTGAATTAACTATGAATGAGGTATAAATACATGAGAAATGCACACTTTAATAGATTATATAAAGAGAAACATTATGATCAACAATACCGACACTTTGGAAGATGTACATATCATACAATAATTATCACTCTATTTCAGATTTTATAATTATAATTTTCAATTTTTATTTATGATTTTTCTATAAATAATCTCTATTATTTAAAATAATAAATATATTTTTATTTTTAACATGCAATTGCTTATTTTACATATAATTTTAAAATAAAATATATAAATCATTAGTATTTTTGTATAAATAATAACCCTATTTTTTCAAATAATAAATATCCTTTCATTTTTAACATATAATTTATATCTAAAATAATATAATCGGTCGAATTCAGATATGACCTGATTCAATTCAATAAATATCCAAATTCTACCGATTATTTAATTCTTATATATAATATATAAAATATTTTATATAATATATATAATAATTAAGTTATATAAATAATTTATATATTTATATACTTTATATCAATAAAATATTTATTTTATATATTTATTATTTATCTAAAATAATTAATTAATCAAATTCGGATCGAATCGAATCGAATATTCGAATATTTAATCGGATTTGAATTCGGATATTAATTTTCAATATCCATCGGATATTAGATCGAATTTAGATATCGGATTCGAATTTGGATATTGCCTAATCCGATTCGAATTTGATCTGTTTACACCCCTAATGGATACAATCTACCCCATATTGAGTGAATCATATCAATACTTAAATCCTTGGATTTAGGTGAGAGAATTCTCTAACCCTAGGGACCCCCCCTTCTATATCTCTTATAGTTTTCACTCATTTTCTAATTAGGAAAGGATTTATCCAATAAATTCTCCTAATTACAAGTAGGTCCCTCTACTAGGACTCTTCTTTGTGAGCACACTCTTGTCTATACTTTGTGTGTGTTTTGCCCCTTAATGTGTGTGACCTCTTAGGTTTAATTCTATAAGTAGTGGCGAATGATACTAAACTCCTTCAGCATCCCAAATAGAACTCCTAGTTGAATTGAATTAAAGTGTTTTTAATTCTCCCTTGAATGTGAATAATCAATTCCTCAAATCATGAGTGACACCTAGCAGTATGTCATGGTTACCCCAATAGCTTGAATTTAGCAGTTTCAACCTTTCTATCTCTTATTACCATACAATTGAATCCTTCTATCATACAATGTCCAAAGAAAGCGAAGGGTTGTGGTGAATAAATGAAACCCTACTAGCTTAATCATATGTCCCAATGAATTAATTATGACTTATATGGTGACACTTGGAACTCTTTCCATATATCATTCCGCCTTGGCTAAGGACTTCCTAAGTCTCATCAACTGCAGCCCCATAGTGTGTATTCACATTATGGCTGATATGGGTATGATTAAATCCCTTGGTTAAGGCAAAAGTATTTACACCATTAAACCATAATGCCCCATGCACAAGATATCCATGATGCCTTAGGTCTGAGGATCATCTAAATAACTGGGATGTCAGAAACAATTATTGACTAGTGACTTCATGTATCTTTCTATTATGGGTCATGTTGAGTGAACCTGATAGGCACCCACATATTTGTTGTGGTGTCTCTCTACACAAGTGACTTGAGACTCATTATCCCATAAGGCAAGCATAATATGTGCTAGTCTATTCGGACAAAGAAACTATGTTTACTTATGCATAAGTTTCAAGTCATGTTCTAGTCATATGAAACTAAAAGTTTTAATATGAATGACAAAAAAGCCCTTTTATAAATAAATGCGAATAGTACAAAATTGAAATAGTCCCTTTACAGTGTCACATAATTGGTTTTAGGGCACACGACTAACA